ATCATGATGTGCGCAAGCCAGCGAGGCCATGTCTGACGAAGGAAAATGTCATCATACATCGGGGCTTTGGGGACAGTTGCCCGCCAGAGTTCAGCATCATTATACGAGCATCTTCATTGTCAGCAGCAGCAGCATCATCACGATATCATCATCATCATCTTATTAAGCGTTGACATCTACATCCTCTGTCCCAGGGGGTCGGCAACCAAAATAATAAGGAAGATACTTTTTTTATTCTTAAAAAAAAACCTCAATACGAGACGGTGGCAGTCCTTGATACAATAACGGTCACAAAGCAGCGATTCCTATGATCACTTTCATGGCTTTATTTTGGTGATTTTCGAAAAGTGTTTTGCTTTGGCCATGTTTGTTTGTTGTAGTACGGAGTTAGACTGATGGCCTTAATCTAAGTTGTCTTGTGGTTGTTGTTGTTTGACTTGCATCCCACTGGGATTTTTGCACACAGCGTTGGTGTACGGTGCATTTTCTGCAATATTTTGCCGTCTTTTCTTGGATTTTCTGTTTGCACTCAGTCACATATTCACTTTAAGATGTTTTTGTTCATGTTTTAGTTTTTTGTTTGTTGCGGTTGCACCCGATTCAAGAGCCGAATGGCTCACAGGGCTACACCTAATACACGAATTTGAACTTGGTTCCTTGAAGATCCACCCCGCATGCGGGTCTGCAGCCACAGGCTGCCGATCCCCTGGGCTCTCTCCCAACATCATCGCTTGTCGTTTGCTCTCTTGAACAAATGGTGCGTCATGTCTTTCCCTCTTCGCACCGTCCACTCGCGAACGCTGTCTGACGGTCCGAAAAATAAAGCATCGCACCGAACGAGAAGCAAGGGGCAACCGTGCGACTATGTCGAACACCGTACGTGCAATGTGGGCACAGAAGGCAAAAGCTGCCCGCAACGCGCTGTGAGAAAACAAAATGATGCTGCTCCTCCTGCTGCGTTGACACAGTTAATAACGAACCCAACACGTTCGTCAATATCAACACGTGTGGCCTTGTAAAGGAGACGTTCTTACGTTCCGATTAATAGGTGATATTACGGGAAAATGTTCCCTTCCTCGTTGGAGATATTATGTTGATTAATGAATAATGTAAATATAAGCGTGGTGAATTATCTTTGAATGCAATGCACGGTAATTGTCAAGTGGGCAATATTATTAAAAACGAAAACTATTTTTTTATTTTACCAGGTAACACCCACTGAAGCGACGTGGCGATCACAAATGATAGCTCAACGAAGTGGCTTATGATCAGGTGGAAATTAATAGCAGCCAAATATTCTAAAAAGCGTGATGGTGATTCTAAACGTGGAGGGAAAACCGGAGGACCCGGAGAAAAATCCACGCAACCACAGGGTGAGAGACACGCAAACTCCAAATATACAGCAGCAGGCGTCAGGGTCGGGATCGAACCCACGACCTCCTGTACACCAGGCGAGGTAGTTAACATCTCGCCTCCATCGCTCCCCTAAATGTTGTGATGTTCATCTCAGTTGAGTAGCACTGAACCAGTTGTTGCAATTCCACATTTCCATGGTTTGGGGGGGGGGGGGTAAGTCACCCCGTCCAATGCTTCAAGCGGTGCTCGTTTTACATTGACCCCAGACCGATGACTTAAACTCCCCGACCTTCTAATAGCCGAGTCCTGAAAACTTAAATTGTTACGGTTATGATCTTTTCATAAAACATTTAATGCATTAAATATATCAGAACAAAAAAAAAATGGGGCCATTAAATTTAAATAAGCTAAAAGCTGTTAAACCTTTATTATAATCCCAAAACAATGTGTTTCTCTCTTGAATGCAAATCAGTCGTTAAATTCCTAAAAGTTTTTTTTTTATCACTTTGACAAATTTCGAGCCGCATGTAAAATAACGGCAAGCCTCGACGGGGCTGGCTCTGCGCTTCCGTCACAGGAGCTACGATGACTCTCCAGCCCACCGCAGTTGGCTTCTGCACTTCATCTCGACAACACCATCATCTCCTCGCCTCTCAGGAGGTCATCGTGGCCGAGGGCCGTCGGTGTCAGCGGAGCTTTGCTCGTCACTTTCATCTGCAAAACTTTTTTTCTTCTTGGTTCTTTCGGTAAAGTCACGTAGAATGGAAATAATAAAATAATATAAATAAAACATAATAAAATAATTCTCACGACGTTTCGGCCACAACGCAAGCAACCGTCCTCAGGTGGAGAACAGGTCTGTCGAGAAGACAGAGTCAGAAGACAGAGTTAGACTCTGTCTTCTCGACAGACCGGTTCTCCACCTGAGAACGGCTGCTTACGTTGTGGCCGAAACGTCGTGAGAATTATTTTATTATGTTTTATTTTTATTATTTTATTATTTCCATTCTACGTGACTTTACCGAAAGAACCAAGAAGATGAATCCCTGCAGTCACGAAAGATTTAAATCGAAATAAAACGCTTTTGTTGCGCATGGCTCAATTCCCATTCTCCGTGGCCCACTCTGACGGTCCCGTGACCACTCGCTGGGTTCTGATCTTCCACGGAGCTGCTCACGGTTCCACCCTAAACCGCATCCACTGCACAAACCGTGGCAGCAGACGCGGATACCTGATGCGCACGTGGAAAATATAAATAAAAGCTCTCCAGCGGTGCGCGGCTGTGGTCATCCAGAACAGACCGTACAACGTAGCACGACTTCAATGCCCGATCCACAACTACGAAGGCGACGATACACTACTCCGCTGGTCATCACGCGGTGGTCTGGGCCTGACCACCTGAATGTGAGATTGTAGTTGTTGCTCTGCAGCTACGTCAACAGCCTTACGAAGGAAGAAGGTTACCACCACCGCCGCTACCACCACCACCACCACCGTGTGGCTTTGGGTCATCTCCTTCGTCACTGACCTCTGGGTGTCACTCCAATGGCCGTCTCGGTGACCTGTCCTCCTCCACCGTGCACACCACACGTCTCGCTCACCGCGGACCTCATCTTCCTGCCGCATCGCAACAACGACGCCGGTCGCGACATTCCGGTCTCAAACTAGAGTTACCGCTATTCTACTGTCACTCACATCGTGGTGTCCGGGGAACTGAATGCCAACATGGAGGCGTGCTGGCCGCGAAGAGAGAGGGGGGCCTTCAGGAGAGAGATAGAGAGAGAGAGAGTTCGTGTCAGCGCGTTGCTAACACCGCCTCCGCTGGAGTAGCACGGGCGAGTTTCTGACCACCTCATCGCGTCCGTGAACACTTTTTGCACTCGAAAGGGTCAGAAGGATCTTTTGTAGTTGCTTCGTTGAAGTCCGGCTCTTTGACCTCTCAAATGAAACGCAGGCATTACTCCTCCCCCCAAACGTCCGTCCTTTAATGCTCGAGTTGACCTCCGCTCTGAGCGAGTGATTTTACGTAGCCTAGGAAAAAAATAAACCCGTCTCCTGCTGCTGCGATACATGTCACGACCTCCTTTTTCTCGAAGGGACAATTTATCTCGGCTCCAATTGAGAGCAATAATAATGATGTTAATGCCCTGTATTTACTGTTATTGTGAGTTTGTAGGATTATGATTCCTTAAGCCTCGCTGAGCCTCAAACCTCCGATTAGCATGGATCGCTATGTGCTGTGGGAAATAAATTCAACATACGCCTCTACTTACGAACATTCGACTTACAAACGTTCAAAGATACGAACAAACCCTGTCCGTATGTCCAGTTGCCTGCTCGGACCGAGAGTCGTAAGTTCAACCGCCGTGCAATAGATGGCGGTGGTGGCATCTACGTCTGCAGAACGTGAAGAACCAGTGGCATCTACATCTGCAGAACGTGAAGAATCAGTGGCATCTACATCTGTAGAACATGAAGAACCAGTGGCATCTACATCTGCAGAACATGAAGAACCAGTGGCATCTACATCTGTAGAACATGAAGAACCAGTGGCATCTACATCTGCAGAACGTGACGAACCAGTGGTATCTACATCTACAGAACGTGACGAACCAGTGGTATCTACATCTACAGAACATGAAGAACCAGTGGCATCTACATCTACAGAACACGAAGAACCAGTGGCATCTACATCTGTAGAACATGAAGAACCAGTGGCATCTACATCTGCAGAACGTGAAGAACCAGTGGCATCTACATATGCAGAACGTGAAGAACCAGTGGCATCTACATCTGCAGAACATGGATAACCAGTGGCATCTACGTCTAAAGGAGATTATACAACTCGTAAAGCCATTCCCCGTGTTTAGTGTCCATGCCGTACAGCGTGTTTGGAATCGACAGCAGTAAAGTTGGACCTACGAACAAATCCGCGTACATAGAAGACTCGTTTTCAGGAGGGGCCCAGTGGAGGTTTTTCTCAGTGGGGGGGCAACGTTGCCGCTGTGAGCGATCCCGATGAGGTTAAAACGGCGAGTGGGTTTCCAGCATTTGGGATGTTTGGCCAATTCCCAGTCTCACGGCATGTTTCTTTTTCGTTCAAGCTGTTGCAGGAAAGCGGAGAAACCCGGGGGGCAGAGATGGGGATAGCATGCAAGAGAAAGGCACCTTAGGAATTGAACCCATGATCCATTGAAGCCAGCAGGTCTTTCCTGCTGTATGTATGTGTGCACGTTGAACTTCTTTCACACCGTACGTAGCCAGCCGTGCTGATCGGAGGTGCAGGGGGAAGGGAAACAAGCTAAACACAAATAGCGGCTCTGAAGAAACGAGTTTTGCCGTTTAGTGGCTCCCTAATATCGCATTCCGACCGCAGGTATTGTGGTCAATGCAAACATGACTCCTCGTAACAAAAGGTGTCAGTTGTGTTGCCAGATAAAAGGGTAAAAAAAACAATTATCATATTTTGCTACTGGCAAAGGAGGTTCCAATGGTGTTGTTGCTGTTGTCGCTGTTGTTGTTGTCGTCGTTGCTGTTGTTGCTGTTGTTTCTGTTGTTGCCGCTGTTACTGTTGTCGCTGTTATTGTTGCTGTTGTTGCTGTTGTTGACGCTGTTGTTGTTGTTGCTGCTGTTGCCCACTGCAGCTCCGGAGATGGTGGGGAGGCAGCGGTACGGGCGGCCTGTGGACCTGTGGGCGACCGGCGTCGTCATTTACATCCTGTGAGCACACCTACACACACCTACACACACCTACACACACCTACAAAGACAAAGATCCCCCGTATAGCCTTAACAGACTGTAGGGGCAAGTGCTGTTAGCGAGCACCTATGAAGGCTAACACGGCACATGAAAGGGTGGGTGGCCAACACCACGCCCGACCGCCTTTGTCTCCCTAGCGGCGATGTTTACACATCGCACTAGGTACTCATTTTAGGCTGAGTCGACCTAGGGGAGGCCCGGGACCGGTTCAGATAATCGTCACTGGTGTTGGCCGTGAGCGGGAATTGAACTCGGGTCGCCGGGTTCATAGCGCAGCGCGCTAACCGCTACACTATCGCTCCCCACACACACCTACACACACACACACCTACACACTTACACACACCTACACACACTTACACACACTTACACACACACACCTACACACCCACACATACTTACACATACCTACACACACACCTACCCACACACACCTACACACACCTACACACACTTACACACACCTACACACACACCTACACACCCACACACACCTGCACACACCTGCACACACCTACACACACACCTACACACCCCTACACACACCTACACACACCTGCACACACCTGCACCTCCCCCACCCCCCGCACACATCTACTCACTACCGGCAAGTTGACTGCTGACAAGTCGTACGGAACTCCTTACCGATTGCTCCGTGCTGTTGAAGTAACGGCGACATCCGACACCTGCTACGTTCGCAGTCACGAACACGTATCGCTCAAATTGCCTCCTTCAACGCTCATTGGCTGCGGTTTGCCGGTCCTCGCCCCTCCCCCAAATGTCACGTGCGCTGTCGCGTCACGTGACGAAGGTGATTGGAACCACGTGGATGTGCGGTGCCGTGCGCGAAGCCTCCCGTCGGATAACGCCACCCCCCTTGCCCCGACCCCCTTCCCTTACCCCCCAGACTCTCGGGGAACCCACCCTTCTACGATGACCAGGACGAGGAAGACTACGAAAACCACGACAAGAACCTCTTTCGGAAGATCCTAAGCGCCGAGTTCGAGTTCGACTCCCCGTACTGGGACGACATCTCCGATGCCGGTGAGTCACCTCCGTGGGCAGGTTTTACACGGCGGTCCAAAAGGAGGTTTAGTTAATTTTTTTGGTATTTTTGTTAAAATCTGCGGAGTTTCTTTTTTTTTTCTGGCATCCACGGCACCCCCAAGCTCCACAAAGCGACGTTCACTGACACAGACAAAGATTCCCCGCTCCCCCATGTAGCCTTCACAGGCTGTAGGGGCAAGTGCTGTTAGCGAGTAGCACCTATGAAGGCCGGAACTGTGGCAAATGAGGGAGAAGTGGGTGGCCAGCACCACGCCCGGCCGCCTTTGTCTCCCTCGAGGCGATGTTTGCACATCGCACCCAGGTACTCATTCGAGGCTGAGTCGACCTAGGGGAGGCCCAGGACCGCTTCAGATAGTTGGTCACCGGTGTTGGTGGCCGTGAGCGGGAATTGAACTCGGGTGCCTAGCGCAGCGCGCTAACCACTGCGCCACCACTCCCTATGTTATTTTAGCGCTGCATTTACAAAATACGTATCAATGCAATGCTTAATAATAACATTATTACCATTACAAAAAAATGCTAAATCCGGAGTTTCATCACAAATAATAAGAATAAGATTCAAATGGTTAATACTTTCAAAGGTTACTTAATAAGGAGCACCTTCAGGGCTTCTTAACTGCTCCCGTTCGCTGCTTCTTCTACGGTGGCGTAGCCTTGACGACGGGGCGGTGATGCCATCAGAAATATAAATAGTTTTTGTTACTTTTAATTGCTATCATAGAAAGGTATTTGTTACAAACAGTCTCCCCGGATTGCGGAAGACCCGACTTACGCAAACCCGACCTTACGGAAATGCTTCCCCGTGAATCGCGTCCACGAAAAAATAGTCCAGTGCGCGGAAATGTTTGCGCCGGTTACGTGAGCGCAAGTAGTGCGGCGCGGCGAGGTCGCGGATGAATACCGCGGGGTGAGGAGGCCTAAGGTGGGCAGCGGCCTTGAACCGCGTTCGGGCTTAAATCGAAGAGTAAGGCAAATGGAATTTATCTTTGATTTTTGGAAAGGAAAATTGTTCACTATGAGACACCTCCTTTAGCAGTGGCAAAATATAGTGATAGGTTTTTACCCTTTCAACTGGTACAAAAACTGACACCTTTGTACAAGGCATCATGTTTGCAATAACCACAACACAAGCAGTCAAAATGCAAACAAAAATAAACAACTTTTAAGAAAAGCTGTCTCGGGTGTGGAACAATCAACTTCAAGGACAGTGCATATCATTATCATCAGAGTTGTTTCTTTTTGTTTGCATTTTGACTGCTTGTGTTGTGGTTATTGCAAACATGATGCCTTGTATAAAGGTGTCAGTTTTTGTACCAGTTGAAAGGGTAAAACCCTATCACGAAAATTGTTAAGTTTCTGACATACGGAAAATTCGGGTTACGTATCGTTCTCGGGAACCTAACCCTTCCGTAACCCGGGGACTGCCTGCATTTCGAAAAAAATCTTCTTTCACTCGTTTTCTTTTTTTGTTGAGCGCGTAAGAGTGAAGCGCATAGCAGTGTACGTGTGAAGTGTCTTCCTACAAGATGACTCCCGTAAAAATTTCGATTTCAAGCTTTCGTGACTGCAGGGATTCATCTTCTTGGTTCTTTCGGTAAAGTCACGTAGAAGGGAAATAATAAAATAATAGAAATACAAATAAAAATTAAACATAATAAAGTAAAATAATAATGTAATAAAATATTTTATTATTTGTATTTTTATTATTTTATTATTTCCATTCTACGTGACTTTACCGAAAGAACCAAGAAGATGACTCCCGTAACTTGCGAATTTGCGCTATGGGGGGGAAGGGGGGGGAAGAACGTCTTACACACGGGGACACTCTGGAACTCGATATGGAAATTGTACAGCGATGACCTGCTGTTCTTACATTTAGGTTAATTTAATATAGATTTAATATTTAATGTAATATTGATTATGTCTGTGCACCGCTGTTTTCAATTTCTTCGGTAATGCCGTGGGTTGTTCAGAGTGCTCAGAGACTTTTAGAGCAATTCAACTCACAGTTCCAAAGTTTCGAATTCAAATCCCAGTCGTGGGTTGGCTGAGATCATAATCCTTATTGTGGCAGCAAAAATGAGTGCCAATTATTGGGAAGTAAAATTAAGGTTTTCCTTAAAAACATTTTTTATTGACTCCCGCCTTGGTAATGTGCAATTTCCACCACGAACCTCGCAAGATGAGGACTTTCTCGTTTGAGTGCCTTGATCCTGAATTCGGTTTCATTTGAGTTTTGACCGCCGATGTCCAAATCGCTCGGAAGTCGTCCAATATTGTCGAATCTCAGAAGATTTACGCCTGGATAGTGCCTGGATCACAATCTGAATATTTATTCACACCGGGGGACTCCGACGAGCTACAAAGCACTTTCCCCCAGATCTCCAGTCGTTCCGCGGACGTCCAGCAGAACGAGTGACCTCAACGCAGGGTCAGGCTGCCCGAGGTGGCTGCTGCTGCCCCGTTCTACGCCGTGTGCGGCACAGTGGCAGTGCCACGGCATTCGTGGTTGTACCGCTATTCTACGCTGCCACTTACTTTCATGCTCTCCTACTTCAGCAACGGAATGTTCAAGTAGTGGCGATGACCAGCAGCGTTGTGGGGGAGGCCCCTCACCCAGCCGTTGGTGGGTAAAAATGGCCGCACACAGCGGAGACTAATCCAGCAGAGTATAGAGGTGGGGTTGATGGACCACGCAGGGATGAAGTTGCCATGTGAGCGATACGGTAATGCACACCCCACGATGTACTTCTCTCCACGAGTTTTCGCAAGCACCTCGCCGCCTTGCGATGGACACCGCCCACCTGGATCTGCGTCGCCTCAACCTCACCACAACGCGCTCACGTCGCAGTCAGGGTCGTAGTCATCGTCTGTCATCGTCATCGTCGTCATCGTCTGTGCTTTCTCGTCACCTCTCAGCCTCCACCACCACCACCACCTCCACCACCACCACCCACTTACTACCCTGGACACGAACCACTTTCGTGTCGCGCACAAAGAAGCGTGCGAGCTTCACCGTCGAGTACAATAAATTATTCGTGAACGGTAACTTTGTGGTGAATTTCATTGGTAGTGTACTCAGTGGCGTGACTATGGTTGGTGTCGCGCAGTGCGGTAACTCACGGGGTCACACCCCCCATGGACCTCCTCTCGTACCAGATCATACAGAATCCTTCGTAATGTTTTCTTGTACTAACGTTACTGGTAAATCGTAATTCCCGTATATCGCTGAATGTAATGGCAATAGCCCCTCTTTTTAAATCCTTTATATTAAGTTCACTTGCTTGCGCGCTTACGACCATGCAAATCTTTCGGTCGTTTTTTAACCCACTTCCCGTGATCCAATCGAGCTGACATTTTGCACACAGACTCGTTGTGCGTGACAATTTATTTTCGTGAAAAATGTTTTCCATAACTTTACACTTTTTAGGAATTTTTTTTTTATATTTAATTACCAATTGCTTAATGGTGGCAGGCAATCATCTGACCCATAGGTGGCAGCCATCTCAAGCCAGAGGACGAGAGGACTCTAGCCGCCACGCATATAAAGGATTTATAGTGAAAAACTTTGTTTTTACGGGTTAATTTTTTTCTTAAAGGGCCCACCTCTTTCTTAAAGGGCCCACCTCTTTCTTAAAGGGCCCACCTCTTGGGGTCCTGGCCTTCGAACGACGCCAAGCTTGGCTCCCGCCCTTCAGAGTCGCGGTCATTTGTGTCCGCGAAATGTCACGCAGCGCGTTACGAATCGCATTCTCGTTATAATGATAATCATCATCATCATCATGGTGAGTGTATTGAAGTTCAGCAGTGGATTGACACCAGTCCTGTGTATGTACAGCCGTCTGGGTGCTGTGTGGCCGGCTGTGAACATTGTGGCTCTGAGCGGCTGTGTGGACATGGTGGCTCTGAGCGGCTTTGCTCATTGTGGCTCTGAGCGGCTGTGTGGGCATGGTGGCTCTGAGCGGCTTTGCTCATTGTGGCTCGGAGCGGCTGTGTGGGCATGGTGGCTCTGAGCGGCTCTGCTCATTGTGGCTCTGAGCGGCTGTGTGGGCATGGTGGCTCTGACTGGCTGTGTGATCATTGTGGCTCTGAGCGGCTGTGATCATTGTGGCTCTGAGCGGCTGTGTGGGCATGGTGGCTCTGACCAGCTGTGATCATTGTGGCTCTGAGCGGCTGTGTGGGCATGGTGGCTCTGAGCGGCTCTGCTCATTGTGGCTCTGACCGGCTGTGTGGACATGGTGGCTCTGAACGGCTGTGTGATCATTGTGTCTCTGAGCGGCTGTGTGGGTATGGTGGCTCTGAGCGGCTCTGCTCATTGTGGCTCTGAGCGGCTGTGTGCGTGTCGTGCAGCCAAGGAGCTGGTGACGAGGCTCATGGACGTGGACCAGAACACGCGCATCACTGCGCAGGAGGCCATCGCCCACCCGTGGTAGGTTACTTGTCCTCGCACAGCAACGACGACGCCGCGACAACAAAGACAAAGATACCCCCCCCCCCCACCCCGTAGCCTCTAGCAGACTGTTGGGGCAAGTGCTGTTAGCGAGCAGCACCTATGAAGGCCGGCACGGCGCACGAGGGGGTGGGTGGCCAGCACCACGCCCGCCCGAATTTGTCTGCCGAGTGGCGATGTTGACACACCGCACCAGGTACTCGTTTGAGGCTGAGTCGACCTAGGGGAGGCCCAGGACCGGTTCAGATATTCGCAAGCAGATTGACGGTGTGAGTGTGTGTCGGTAGAACAGGGGAAGAATATACAACTTCCACACACACACACACGCGAACAAATACTCTCACAAGCACACACTCGCCCACTCACACTGTCACTCTGCAGAGCAGGTGAAGAACATACAAACTCCACACAGAAGTGAGACCGAGTCAGGAATCAAACCCGGGTCCTTCTTGCTGTGAATGTTACCACCGCCGCCTCCCAAATGAGTGTCGAGAGGGTGCGCATGCATCCGTGAACACCATGGCCCCCCGTCCCACCTCCCCCCCTTCTCGCCCCTTGCGCCGGTGTTAAAATAGCAAACGTTCACCCATTTCCAGGTCGTGTCCCAGATACAACACCCCTGGGTTCGCGTCTCCTCTCCGCAGAGCACACCCAGGAGAGCCCCCGACCCCCCCCCGTGACTCCACACGCACCACACGCGCCACGCGCACCACACACGCAGCACACGCACCACACGCACCACGTGCACCACACACACCACACGCATCACACGCACCACACACACCACGCGCAACCACACACACCACACGTACACACCAGGGGTGCAGGCGCTGCACAGGGGTTGCATGCATTCACGGGGCGAGCGATGGTCTCAAATGTAATTCATCATTCCGCAGGCTTCGTTGGAATCACAGTACAGGGGGAGGGCTGTGGGAAGGAATAGGCTCGACGCATATGCTTTATTATAATAATAATAATTACCATAATAATACACAATACATTGGCTTATCGGTACACTTTGTGGATGAAGGCCACCACGCACTGTGTCGAGCCATGAGGGATTTGTGACCAAGATGGATTGGTAACGAGTGGGGTCTCAAGACGAAGCTAATTAATTTCCCGTCACTGATGTAAAACTAAACTATTTATTTACCAAACTATTTTATTTTCTTCCCAGGTAAGGCCCCACTGAGCTACGTAGCTCTTTTTCAGAAGCGACCTGGCCACAAAATGATAGCTCAATGAAGTGGCTTATTGTCACGTGGACATTTATAGCAGCCAAATACTCTAAACGCACTTTGATTCTAAATGTGGAGGGAAAAACCGGAGGACCCGGAGAAAAATCCACGTGACCACGGGGAGAGAGACATACAAACTCCAAATCTACAGCAAACATCACGGTCGGGATCGAACCCACGACCTCCTGCACACCAGGCGAGGTCATTAACATCTGCTAGCCACCGTGATGATGATGATGAGAGAGAGACGCAAACTCCAAATATACAGCAGCAGGCGGCAGGGTCGGGATCGAACCCACGACCTCCTGCATACCAGACGAGGTAGTTAACATCTCACCACCATGATGATGATGAGAGAGAGAGACGCAAACTCCAAATATACAGCACACGTCAGGGTCGTGATCGAACCCACGACCTGCACACCAGGCGAGGTAATTTTAACACCTCGCCCTTGTCCAACGCTTGAAGCGGTGCTCATTTTATATTGACCCCAGACGGATGATTGATAAGTAAGTTCGACTTCCGCATGGGACTTGAACTCCCCGACCTTCCAATAGCCGAGTCCTCAAAACCTCCTTTGTAACCATGAGCCGGGGGGGGGGGGGGGGTCGTATCGCAGTGTGCTAACCGCTGCGCCACCACTCTGCGCCATGCACACGTGTGCACGAAATGTTGCCCTTCAAAGCCAAAGTGATGCCTGCGGTCGTGTTAGCGTTCGCGCAGCCCACAGCGGGGGCGCGTCAGCGTCGTTCGGCTCGGAGAAAGAAGACAGATCGATGAGTTTAGAGAGGGAAAAACTACAAACAAAACCACGGGTAAAATATGTGTTCAGTTCAAGGGGTTAGACAAAGCATTGTGGATCAATGTTTCATTTGTTCTCACCTTGAAATCTGTGGATTTGAAGTCAGTTGTTATTTATACATCTATATATAAAACGTGAAGACTGCTGATGAAATCAACAATGAAAATACACGATGACAATAGTGGAATTGTGTCCTTTCCTTTACCCAACTAACCTTTGCTCAATAACGCTCTGCTGACGAGACACTAAATACAAGAGTTTGGTATTTTCGAAGAAGAATAAGAAGAGAAAAAAACCCACAATGCTGCTGAGAAAATGCATTCCCAGAAGGCTGTGCGACTGATGCGTTGAGTAAAACAATCTCTCCTTTCATCTTGATTGATTTCAATTATTTGCCTTCTCCGCAATGGCGATAATTATTGTTTGTGTGTGCATGTTGAACCTCTTTTGCACCGTACATTGCCAACCGTGCTAATCTGAAGAGCACGACGTTGTTTCGCCCCACGTCTCAAGACGCTTTTCATTTTAGAGAGTTCTGCCGGCGATGTTTTGACAGTTCCAAAATTAATATTTTGTGCGCGTGAGGAATTTGGAGTGCCGGATGAAGCATTTGCAGGATGTTCATCTCACTCTACCTTTCTCTGCCTCAATGTCTCTCTCCGTCTTTGTCCGTATTACCTGCCTGTCTTGCAACCCAAAAAACAAAGATCTCATGTGTAGCCCCAACAGACTGTTGGGGCAAGCGCTGTTCGCGGGCACCTATGAAGGCCGTAACGGCACATGAAGGGGTGGTGTGGCCAGCACCACGCTCAGCCACCTTTGTCTCCCTAGTGGCGATGTTTACACACCGCACCAAGTAAAACATTTAAGGCTGATTATCATCACCCGCGTCGGCCTTGAGCAGGAAGCGAATTCGGGTCGCCAGGTTTGTCGCACCAACTGTTGTTACACCAGCGCCCCCCACACAGGCAAAGACAAAGGTCCCCCATGTAGCCTGTATCATAGCGTTAGGGCAAGTGGTGTTTGTATACACCCACCCGTACACACACGCCAGTGCCCCTCCAGAAGCAAAGAAGAGTGTGCTGCACTCACTCACTCTCTCACTCACTCACTCACTCTCTCACTCACTCACTCACTCTTTCTCTCTCTCTGTGTGTGTGTGTGTGCCCTCAAGGGTGTCCGGAAATGCGGCATCGGACAAGAACATCAAGGATGGCGTCTGCGCTCAGATCGAGAAGAACTTTGCGAAGACCAAGTGGAAGGTGAGTGCCGTTCGAGCGCTCACTCACTCTCTCTCTCTCGCTCTATCTCTCGCTCACTCTCTCGCTCACTTTCTCGCTCACTCGCTCGCTCACTCTCTCGCTCGCTTTCTCGCTCACTCGCTCGCTCTCTCTCTCTCTCGCGGCGGCTAATGACGCAAGGCTCCTCCTAAAGGCACGGGTTCGTTTCTCACAGCAAGTACATCCAGCCCGGCTGTCCCTTGCTTAAACCCACAGTATCAATGACGGCCCCCGCTGGAGTTATCCGTTGAAGGCCCCTGCTAGAGGCCCCAATTATAGGCCCCCGCTGGAGGCCCCCGAGAGAGGCCGCCGAGAGAGGCCGCTGCTAGAGGCTTTTGCTGGAGGCCCCCGAGAGAGGCTACCGCTAGAGGCCCCCATTAGAGGCCCCCGCTAGAGGCCCCCGAGAGAGGCCCCCGCATGAGGCCCCCGAGAGGGGCCGCCGCTAGAGGCGTCCGCTGCCGCAACGTGAACCTCCGGAAGCGTCGACCACGCCCGGGACACGAACTCCGTTTGCGGCGGCGAGTGGTCGGAGCCTCTGTGACGAGCGGCGACGCCGCAGCTGACGAGCCGGGCACGGCCTGCGGCACGACGCTCATCATCAGGCCTGGGGCACGACGAGACACAAGCGACTCAAAAAACTTAGAGGGCCTCAATCTTGATTTAATGCTTTCGTGACTGCAGGAATCCATACTCTTTGGTTCTTTCGGTAAAGTCACGTAGGTAGAAAGAGGGCCTCCTCCTACCTACCCACCCACCCAACACCCCCCTCACCCACCCACCCACCCACCACTCCCCTCACCCACCCACCACCCCGCTCACCCACCCACCCACCACCTCTTCACCCACCCACCACCTCTTCACCCACCCACCCACCACCCCCCTCACCCACCCACCACCCACCCACCACCCCGCTCACCCACCCACCCACCACCTCTTCACCCACCCACCCACCACCCCGCTCACCCACCCACCACCCCGCTCACCCACCCACCCACCACCCCGCTCACCCACCCACCACCCCGTTCACCCACCCACCACACCGTTCACCCACCCACCACCCCGCTCACCCACCTACCCACCACCCCGCTCCCCCTGCGCCCCGCGCGCGCCACCCCCAACAGAAGGCGGTGCGCGTCACGGCCATGATGAAGCACCTGCGGACGACGCAGCACTCGGCGCCTCCGTCTCCCGCGGCGGCGATGGGCGGCCCACCGGGCGCCACGGAGGCCGCCGCCACCGCCGGCGACGACGACGACGGCGGCGGCGAAGGAGGAGGGGGGGCGCCCGACCCGAACGGCCGCTCGCCGCAGCCCGGCTCGGCGCGCCCCTCGCCCCGGCACTCCGAGGCCGGCCCGCCGTGCGCCACCGACGGAGCGTCCCCGCCGACGCCGACGAGGGGCCTGGCGGTGGCGGCGGCGTTGTCGTCGCGCCCCGGCGGGCAGCCGTCGCCGTACTCGGCCGGTCCGCGAGCTGCCGCGCCCGCCGAGGGTGAAGCTGAAGCGGCGGTTGCGGCTGTGCCGGAAAATTCGATCGTCATTTGCGTTCACGCGAGCGATGGCGACGGAGCGGACGAGGCAGGGAACGAGTTGCGGTCCGAGATGTAGGGAAAGTCGCCGTCGGTTTTGTCGTCGTTTCGTGATTTTGGTGATGGGGGGGGGGGCGGTCGTGTGGGAGAGGGAGGGGGGGTTTCTCACCGTGATTGCCGGATGAGATGTCTCGTTGGTTGGTTTCGCGGCGAGCCCGACCGGCGTTTGAAGTCGCGTCTGGGATGTTTTGCTTGTCGCTCGGAGGACAGGGTGCGTGTGGGAGATGCGAAAATAAATACTCGGAGAATAAAAAAAAAAACTTAAAATGTAAATGAGAGAGTGGCACGCGTTCTTGAAAAAGGCCATGCACGTTTGAGAAATATATATTTTGGAGTAAGTAAATATATGCACACAGAAAATGTGAAATTGCATTTTTACGCCGTGCGTTTTATTTTCAGATTATATTTGGTACGGATGTAATGATTCATCAAATCAATTAACTGACTTTGATTCGTAAACTTGTGAAGCATGTATTGAATCCTGCACGTAACAATTGATTCTTTTCAGTTTGTATATTTGAAGTGTTTGACACTTTATCAACTTAATTTCACCAGGCAGGAACCCAATGGGACATCAAAGGCCCTCATTCATGTCGAGTGGGTTTTCTTGTTTTTACGAAATCTTGGCATTAAGATCAGCACAGTGAGGCTTTCCTGGGAACACTACCTCTTCTGGATCATCATCATCATCAGCAGCAGCAATGTTAACAGCAACATCATAATAATCAGCAATGTATCTACAACATCGTTATTATAATCCACGACATTCATATTTATTTGTGTATCCATCATCTCGTCTCCTTCACGTGCACGCGTGCCCTCATTCCGCCACTCGCTGAAAAGTCCAGAGCAAAACATTGCCCAGAGGAGTGGGGAAAACAAGTTGCAGAATCATCTTCTTATTCTTGGTTCTTTCGGTAAAGTCACGTAGATAAAAAAAAAATTGCGTCTAAAATTATTTTCAAAATTTTTTCTTACATTTTTTATTTAAATTTCATTTTTAAAATTTTTTATCTACGTGACTTTACCGAAAAAAATATGAATCTCCGCAGTCACGAAAATTTTAAGTCAAAATGTAATCCTCTTCTTCTTCATTATTGACACAGCGGGGCTCTGCTACGTGTCACGCCCTCGCACGCCAGGCGACGCGGCTCCCTGCGTCACGTCGTGAACTTTCCGCTCCCCGTCGGCTCCAGCTGAAGCCTCCCTCTCCCCTCCCGTCGTCGGGTCGTTCCGTGATTGCGCAACGCGGTGGCGGGGTTCACCACCGCGCGTGGATTCTTATTCCCAGGGCCGTGCGCAAATCTGGTTCATCGCACGACGAAGCCGTTGTCTCGGTAAAGTCACGTAGGTAAAAAAATTAAAATTACTAAAAGTTAAATAAAATAAAAATAAAAATCACGATGTTATAATACTATTCAGGGCCTACCTTGGCTCCTTCCACCCTCAACCAGTATATATACAAATACTGTGTTCTTGGAATTTCTCTCACTTGATACAGCAGTCGTGCTGTGACGGTTCCACCTGAAGACGGAAGCTTGTGTTGCCTCCGAAACGTCGTGATTTTTATTTTATTTTTATTTTATTTTACTTTCATTAATTTTAATTTTTTACCTACGTGACTTTACCGAAAAAACCTAAGAATTTGAATCCTTGCAGTCACGAAAGCTTCAAATCTAGAACTGTTTGTTGTCGTCTCCAGCGAAAGTGTGCGCTGAAGTAGCCACCGATTGTCACGTTTTGTTTACGTGACAGACCTTGCTCATTGGCTGTGTCGGGCGGTGGTGGGTTTACCGACACGTTTATATTCACGCGATCTAAACCCCCCCAAAAAAAACTGCGATATCAAAAGGAGCCCTCGTTCTGTCGAAAGCCGGAGGAAATGACGGCCTACGTGACCAGGTGAATCTGGCCCTGAAGTCTCCCGCATGCCACAGCTTGGCTCGATACACATCGTACCCGCCGTAGAGTCTACGGCCCGAAAAAAAACACAACAGATGTTTTTTGGGACCGAAATCATGATCTCGAATCCGTATATAAATGTGCCGTTAAACCCGCCACCACCCGACACAGCCAACTAGTAAGGTTTGTCACGTAAACAGAACGTGCCGGTACAACACCGGTGTGTTGGAGAGCCAAGCCACAACATTTATGACGTTTCGCCAGTAATTACAACCAGCTTCATCAGGCGACAGCCAGATTTGTGGAGAAGTCCACCTGTTTCGTTCCTTATATAGAGGCGTAGACACATTTATGTATGTACGCGATCTAACCCAAAACTCGTGTGTTATGGATGATGTTGGTCTCGAAAGCCTACGTGTTCAAATGATCCCGAACCCGTAACTCTTTACATTTTCGGTTAGGGATGAATCATTGCATCCGTCAAAATTTAAACGGCGGCGCTTGTACAAAGTTGTTTTTGGTTGAAATGTGTACGTCCTAAAAAAAAATACGTTACGCGTGTTCCTAGTCCCGTCTGGAATTGCTCGTGTTGCCAATGGCAAGGAAGTGAATCTCCGTTCAAAACTCGCGCAGAATATAAAGGAATGATATTGTGTACCGTAGCGTTCATGTTAACAGAGACACGATTGCCTGTCCACGTAAATGCACTGACACGCGCGGTTGTAGATTCACCGATCGGGGACCACCTTATATTTAACCCTATTACAAAAGAGCATGTCTAAGTATGTATTATTATCGTTATTATTAATCACTGTACTTAGAACAAAATAGAGGAGGGAGTTTACGTTCTGTCTCATTTGGAAATGTTAACCCGTGTGCGATAAGGCGTGGAAATATGTATGTATATATATCAAAACCAGCAATGTTTATAACGCTATACCACGTGACAGTACAAAATCGGTGTTCCTCTAACACAAAGGCAACTGGTCATATATCAAAGCACTGTTAGCGGCAACGTTTTCTAAGTATCCGTTCCTGCAATTGGATGAAGAAAGTATCGCGTATATCGGTAATCCTGCATGAAACTCCATTTTCAGCGTGTAAACAAGTCAAGTCACCTTGTACGTGGCGATCACCGGCTGGTTACTCTTTTTACAATCACTCAGTCGTGTCACTGGCACGGGCTTGAAGCTAACAGAGCAGCAGCAGCAGCAGTAGCAGCCCATGAACGTAGATATTCGTTAAAGATCATACAGTCAAAGCATGGCGCTAAAGATCACGAGGTTAAGATAATTGACATTGATGGATGGTGATCTTGCCAATGCTTGAGCGTCCTTGGGGTTATTTGACCATACTTCACCACACTTGTGAGTGTGGGTCGGTGAAGGGGGTGGTGATGTTGGCCATGACCACGAATGGAATATTAGGTCGCTGGGTTTGTAGTTCAGCGCGCTAACCGCTGCGCCACCACTCCACCCCATCTGTACGTTAAATGAAGCACGTATTCAAGAGTAGTCAAGTGACTGTATGACGCTCCTGTGAAGACACCAAATAGAGGGTTACGCTACTTCTAAAAACCTTGGTAAATCGGTAATTGCAGACTGATTACGTTTGAAAGTGACTAACCGTAAAACTGTACGTTTAAAATTCACTTTTTTTACGTCGTAAGAACAAAATGCCAACACAATAGCCTGATTATACTTCTTTTATATATATATATTTTAAGCAGCTAATTTCAGAAGGCATGCACACGATGTTTCAGCGTAGTGAGTGTATTATAGAGCGTATCGTATCTAGAGGTAGCTTTCGAGAACGTGAGATGTGTGTACATACCAAGGTATACCGTGTTATTTTGTAAACGCACTTGTGCATGATGTTCACTCAAACTAAGCCACCTTCCAAAATGAGGGCGACTGCGATGAAAATGCGGCGGGTTCGGGCTGTCATCGTCGCAATCGTGTTGGGTCACGTGCACGTGGATTCTAACCACAACGAACGGAGCCTCGTTTCATCATTAGACCTTCTTTGCCAGTAGCAAAATATAATAACAGGGCTTTTCCTCTTTTTTTCTGGCAACAAAACTGAAACCTTTTTACAAGGATTCATGTCTGCGTTAACCACAATACTTGCAGTCAAAATGCAAACAAAAAACACACTATGATAATATATGCATTGTCCTTCAAACTGATTGGTCCACACAAAGGGACAGCTTTGTTTGCATTTTGACTGCAAGTATTGTGGTTAATGCAGACATGAATCCTCGTAAAAAGGTTTCAGTTTTGTTGCCAGAAAAAAGGGGAAAAGCCCTATTATTAGGATTTGGTACTGGCAAAGGAGGTCTAATGATGTAGATGCTCACCCCGAGCCCTCATTACTTTGATGGTGCGTTGTCTTTGAGCTGTGCGCTTTTTGGCGTCCTCTGGTCGAGCACCAATTGGGTCGAGGCTCGAAAGAAAGCCGTCCCTTGGTATGGACTAATCAGTTTCAAGGACAATGCATATATTACCATAGTGTGTTTTTGTTTGCATTTTGACTGCAAGTATTGTGATTAATGCAGACATGAATCCTTGTCAAAAGGTTTCAGTTTTGTTGCCAGAAAAAAGGGGAAAAGCCCTGTTATTATAATTTTATTAGGAACCTCGTTTGTTTAGCGCCCCACTCGCATGCCTCGCCGTCGGGCAGCAGCAGGCCTCAGTGTTTCTGCCGCAGGGCGATGCTGCCGATGTGATCGCAGTCATCATCATCATAATGACGATGACGATGACATCAACTTGCAATGCGCCGCAGCCACACGGCGCTCGCTCTCTCGCTCGCGAACAGAGAGAACGACTCGAAAGAGGCGCCGTGGGTGACGTGACGGCGCCAACAAACTCCCAAGCTCTGCGGTCCCCTACATATGAAGGCGTTATCGGCCAATTAACGGCTGTTGCGGTCGATTACGTTGACGTATTTTTATTTTTGTTGCCCTCATTGACTCTTTTTATTGTAAGGACAACCTCCAGCAAATGTGTGCACGCAGAGAAGAAAACAACCCCCCGCCCAGGAAAGTGGATAATCTCCAGCTGTGCCTCCTGGGAAAATGTAATCACTGGCGCAATATATATTACAATATTAACA